TTTTTTTTTTTTTTTTTTTTTTTTTTTTTTTTTTTTTTTTTTTTTGCTAGCAAACTGCAATTATTATTCTGATCCAGTGCCTTAGTTCAGTGCATGCATCTCCTCTCTAACCTGCACTCCCGTTTTGCAATTCTGAAACCCCATATGAGGTAGATGTCTTTTTTTTTTTTATATATTTGTCTTCAAATTAGTTCAGTTCGGTTTAGTTTATTTTTTTTTTTATTCTTGTTTGTTATTTTTGCGTTGACCTTTGCTCTTGTTTTTAATGATTTTATGCCTTAATGGATTACTTTTCAAAACTTCTTTTTTGTTTATCATCTCTATTTTAAATGTTTATGGTACAATCCCCACCCCTCCACAAAAAAAAAAAAAAAAAGAAACAGAGTTAGCAAAGGAGCTTTTTATTTTTTATTTATTTTAAATATGAAAGAGGCTCCAAGGGAAACCTCTGATGCCGGAATTCCTTATGTCTCAATTAAAACAAGATTCCACCAGCTTCAGACGTTTTCTGATATTAAAAAAACAGTGAGGTCCTTGGCTGGGGATCCTGCAGATGTATCGGTCGCTGGTCTATCACGAAGTGCCCATGGAGTTAGTTCCACTGCTCACCCGGATGTTAGTACTGGTGGTAGTCCCGGTAGTTGTGGGGAGCTGGATACACGCAAGAGAGTACTTTGCGTGTGGGATGTGGATGACACGCTCGTCAGCTCGGGTCCATCTGGAGTTCGTCAGCATCCTCTCTTTACTGAGGAGGAACTCACAGGCCTCTACCGAAATCTTAAGGCGAGACATTTGCTGCTCTCGCAAGGTAGCATTGATGATGTCTTTGCACCTGGAGGATTAGGGAAGTTGCAATATCTGGCGCCCTTCTTTCTTCCACAGACTGCTGCCATGTCAGCCAAGAAGTCAAAAGTAAATGTTGGATGTGGCGGTTTCTTCACCTCGTGTGGACGACCAAATACGGCGCGTCAAACAAACTCCAATACCGCCATCGATAAAAGTAGTAGTGGAATCAAAAAGAAGAAAAAAGGAGAAGGGAAGGATAATGATGAGGATAAAGATGCCGGGGCGGATATTGTTCGCATTGCCACTCTACGTGCCCCACCAGAGCAGCCAGAGGATACAGAACTGTTCTTTAGCGAAGATAAAAAACCACCACGGTGTTCGAGCGAAGTGCGGTGGTTGGTAATGCGTCCCTCATTGTGGGGTATCTCACTTGCGAGTCTCTCAAACTTCATTGCCCCATCAGAGCATACCGCCTTTCTTGATGGCTCTGTCTTCCATAAGATGGATGTGGTTCGCTCTTTGGCGGCTAGTGGATTATGGGATGTTGTATTTTTTATGGACAATGATCTCACAGAGCTTGGATTGATACGACCAGGTCTTGGTATAGATGACTACTATCGCATGAAGAGCGTAGGTAAACTTTTACGATTTTTTCAAGGAGATTATCTCCTACTAGAGGTTTCCGCCGCCTTAGAGGAAAAAGAGCGTAAAAATAACGTAGTTGAAGTGACAACGAGTCCTTCGAAAGATACAGATCCGATATTGAACGGTAACTCAACGGAAGTAAAGAATGGAGAACGTAAAAAGAGTACTAGCATATCTCAAGCTGTTTTTTTACCACTTGTCCAGATACTTGGGACGGAAAACAAAATTAATGGTGAAAGAAAAGTTAGTGATTGTAGTACATCTGTAATGAAAAATAAGGAGGATACACAGTCACAGGGACAAGTAGTAGAACTTGTTTTAGCTCATCTTCGACTGAGTGGGGCGAAGTTTCGCCGTATTACCAAGGTGGAATCTGATCCATTGTCGCGTAAAGAGAGGGAATGGTGGCATCCAGCACTTCGAACAGGTCCGCCTTGCACGGATGAACATTACACACAGTTAATGGAGGATTTTTTCATCTTTGAAGCGGAAGTATTAAATGAGGTTGCGAAGCCATCACCTCAGATTATGACATTTTATGGATGGGAACCAAGTATAGGCGTAGTGCGTTATCCTATATACAAGAGACCAGAACATATTCCAAAACTTAATAATCAGTATGAAGAGGTTTGTCATCAAGTGATAACGAATATTATCGAACAGCTAGATTCCCGATTAACCGCAGCGCAAGAATATGAACTAAAGCGTGAAGCAAACATTCTCTACCGACGCCTTATTCGACGTCAACCAGTGATAGACCCCCAACTCATTGTGAAACTCGCCACTGCGCTTTTTGAAACACTACGATCAGAGGGACGTTTGCCACGTAACCTTTCCGATAGACTCAAGAAAGACATTCGGTTCATGTTAGGGGATGTCATCACAAGCACCAGTAACAGTAACATCAGTGAGGGAGTCAATAGGCACAACTCTCCAACTACTTCCTCCAAGACGGATTGACGACACATGTGTAGATGAGAAGGAAGTATAAAAACAAGGATGACAAGGCCCAAATAGCAAAGAGTTAAATAAAAAAGGAATCGCTCATATATATTTCATGAAATTAATTTCAATGAAGAAGAAAAGCTTCTTCTGTGTAAATAAGGGATGAAAAAGTGGGTGGTGGTTGAGAGTATGCGCATGGATAAAGGGAGTTTATAATTTAAATCTTTACTTTTTTTTTAATTGTTATTATTATTGTTATTATTTGCTCTTTCATACTCGTTGGTATTACTGTGGTTTTTTGTCGTTCTCTCACTATTAATGTGAAAGTATAGTGTGTATAAAACCCACACTCTTATTTCGTGCTGACGAGATTAAATTATTGCATCTGGTACGAAGGCTTACTAGTTTGCAGGAACTAATAAGATATCAAAACAGTTGACTGCTTTTTCTTATTTGTGTTTTTCATTTTCTTTTGATTCTGAGAGAGATTCCCTAGTTGATGTTAAAACAGAAGAAATTGTAAAGCATTGAATGAAAGAAACACTGCGGTTAAAACAAATAAGAGCCATGACCGAAATAAATAAAAATAAGAATGAAGGACAAAAAAAAAAAAAAAGCAAAGGGTCTTGTAGAAAGTCATCATTCCACCACGAAGAAAGAAAATGAGATACTGTTTTTTTTTTTTTTCCTTTTTTTTTTTTTGGAATAAATTCCGCGACTCTCATTCTGTGAATTGTGCGTATCCCCCTCCCTTTCTCTCACTTATTTATCGCTCGTTCGTTCCTCCTCCAACTCCATCTTTTCCATTCTGTTTATTTATTTATTTATTTGAATTGGTGTACATGAGGTATTTTCATATGAACAATGTGAGAAAAAGACGCAGATTTAGTCAAGTAATTATGGTATTTGAATATTTCCTTTCTCCTTGTATTGGTATTTATTGAGTAAGAGTATTTTTTATTTTTCTAATTTTTGTTTTTACGCGTATTTGTTTCACAAAAAGAGAATAGCCTCGTTTGAGGTTTTGTCGGAATACAAGAAAAAGGAGGATTGCGAATCTCCTTGGGGGTAGCAGCAGCAGCAGCAGCAGCAGCAGTAAGAAGAAGAGAATATTATGAATATGTCGCTGCGTACATTCTGTATTATTCCCCATGAGTCTCGCGATGATAACTTCTTTGACGCCGTCTTTGAAGACGGTTTAAGGGTACTGCATTCTGGCCGCTTACACTCGCTCTCTTTGTCGCATGTCTTAAGTCCTGCCCACGATATTGTTGGCCATGTAGTAGGCCCGTTGCTGGAACAGGTTCGACAGGGCGGTAATGCAACCCTCATTGTAGCGATACCGGATGATGAAAATGGCGAAGGTGACGCTAACGGTATGAATAGCAGTAATAGCAGCAACAATACTGCTGCCTATGAGTCCCATAATGGGGGAGGTAAAATTACATCGGGGGAAGAATTAGAGGTGGCATTTGAACTCTACGCGCACTTTATTCCGCTCCTTTTTCGGGCAGCTGAGCAGTGCTGCTTTGCGCGTGTGTCTGCCGTTGCCTTCCGCGTTGATGGTAAAACGGTGTATGATCTTCTTCAGCAGCGTGAGGTGCGGGGGGTGGGGGAGGCGCAGTACCACGTGGTGGAGCGCGAGGGGTCCTCGTCGCGGTGGGGGGCCATTCTGCGGTTCCTGCAGGACTTCCCGCCCGCCCTCGTGGGGCCCTCCTCCTCCTCCTCTTCTTCTTCTTTCTCCTCGTCGGTGGTGGTGGTGCGGGTGGAGCTGGCGGGGTACGGGGCGGTGGGGGTCGTGCGGGCCGGCGGTGGGGCCGACGCCCTCCAGCAGTTCGACCGCCTCCTCCGCAGCGGCGGGGGCCGGACGTTCCCGCCCCGCGGGCCCCTCACCGCCGCCCTCCGCAACGCCGTCCCCCCCGCCGCCCGCACGCATTTCGTCGGCATCCCCACCCCACGAACTGCCCCACGCGGCACCATGCGGCTGCTCAGGTGTATGGCAGAACTATGCCGCGAAACAGTGGCGACACCACGGGGGCATGCAGCATCGTTAAACGAGTCAGTGAAACCACAAAAAGAGGAGGAGGAGGAGGAGCAGCAGCAGCGGCAGCAACAACAACAACAATTGCAACAAAAACAACAGGTGAAGCAAAAGGATCCGAAGGAGCATCCCTACGCATGGAGTGGGGAGTTGTTTGTAGATCCTTCACAGTGTCTGCGTCCGATATCAAGTAAGAGATGTAATACCCACGGACCGAATTGGGATTGGGGCACTGCTCGACCGGAGCATACACCGCGAGATGGCAACATAACGAAGTCACATACTTCTCCCATATTAGTGACTGGGGAAGAAAAAGAAAAAACTGTAGATAATGTTACATCCCAAAACTCAAGGGAGCAAGCTCTTGTTAGTCGTGCGGCGGCACTAGATCGTACAAATCGTGAACTTGTAGCAGCCTTGTCATCGGCGAAGGCAGAAGTGAAACACTTAATGGAGATGCAGCAGGTATCGCAGGAGGCTCTACGGCAGAAACAAGACGCTCTTCTTTCTTTGACAGCATCTAGTGAAAAGGCCAAAGAGGAGAATGTAGATTATGCAAAGTTGGTGCCAAGGTTACTTCGTAAAGTGAAAGACCTAGAGAAGGAACGAGACTCCTTGCGAGAAACTATAAAAGAACAGGAAGTTAAGAATAGTAACATTCAGGAGGCATACCAGAAATTACAGGATCAATTCCAGAGACTACAAAAGGAGATGAAAGCCATGTCTAAGAAAGAAACACAGCGTCTACGGGAACAAGCCCTTAAGCGTATTGGAACTACAGAAGACAGGAACGAATCTCTTAATAAAAGTCGCAAGGGAAGTTCTCACATACAGACCCGTAGGAAGTCTAAATCACCGGTAGTTGAATCTAGCAGACGTTCAAGAAGCGCCTCCATAACGCCACCAGTGGAGAGTGGTTCGTCGCTTCTTGAAGCAATTGAGGAACTTAGAGAACGTAATACTTCATTAGAGACTGAGCTTCGAGAGCTTCGAAGTCAAAAAACTATTGCAGCTATTCCTACTTCTGATTGTAATAATGGTGTTAATCATATCCGTAATGATAGTAGTAATTTGGCTCCAGGTGGTGGTAGCGCTAAACCAGTGGTTAGGTGTTCTTCCTGTGACTTGACAAAACGTCACCTGCAAAGACTCTCCGAGGAATTTGAACGCACTTGCAAAGAAAAAGAGCGCCTACAGTGCCTCCTTACTGACCGTTCTTTTCAATCATCTAATCTATTAGGAGGAGTAACGACGACGACGACGACACCAACAACAACAAAAGCATTACGAGATGCGGTTAGTATTGTTGCTACTTCTATCATGGCTGGATGCGAGTCGTTACGAACGCAATTAGAACATCTTGAGACCGAGGTTCAACGTCATGGACGAAAAAGTTTTCAAGACTCCTTTCCAAGCGGTGTATTCCGCGAACACATGGAAGCCTTGGCTGCAGTGTCTGCAGCTGTGCAAGACATTAACAGCAGACGTTATCGTGGAGTAGAGAATTATGAACGCATAGTTCCTTCATGTGCTACAGCAGCGGATACTGAGCAGATGTCGAGTGTGCTTTCTTTTGAAGTGGAACGTGGGACTCGTCTGCGTGCCTTTATACCAACGTTTGCTCAGCTTTCTGTAGCAACAGAACACCTGCGGATGCGTGTTTTTCCTGCAGAATCTTGATATAATAAATATTACATTTATTTGTTCACGCTGTCGATTATCGCATTTCTTTTCCTTATTTACCATATAGAGTGAGTTTACAGTTAAAGCAGAAAATATACCCTTTTTTTCTCTTTAACCTATTGTATGAGTGACTGTTGCATGCTTCCTCTTTTTCCATTTTGCTGTCGAGATAGCACACCTCCTACTTTTTTCTTTTCTTCGCCATTGGTGTGGGGTTGGTCTCTCTCTCTGTTTTTTTTTTTTTTTTTTTTAACGTCCTGGTTTTATTGTCCAGCGTATGGGCAGGAGTATGTTATATTATAAAACTTTTTCTTTCTTTGTTTGCTTTCTTTCCTCTATTTGCGTTCTTCAGTGTGTGCTCCCTCTATGGTTTTATTTTTATTTCTTTGTTTCTCTTTTCTTTTCTAGTGCTTGATGGAAAAGGGAGGGAAAGGAAGGGAAAAAAAAAAAAAAAACGACTCCGTGTAATTCTGTATTTGCCTAATTAGCTGCCTTCTCTTTCTCTTATTTGCGGCAAGTAGGAGAGGAATAAGGAAGACTATGTGGAAAATTGTTGAGTCGAAGCAGCAGCCCTCCAAACGTCGGAGAAAGAGTTCTGTTGAGCGGAGAAAAGATGCTGCTGCGGCTTTTGTGGCTTCCGCTGCGGATACTTCTTTCCATCAACCCACCGTCACCTCCAGTTCTGCAGCGTTGGTTTCATCACTCGCACGGGATCTCCGCCGGGCTTCTCAGGTGGTTCAGGGAATCACATTTCTCAGACGAGATGTGTTACTACCGTTGCGAAGGTACTTAAATACACATGCGGATAAAGTTACACGTATTCATCTTGTGGCTCTTGGCATTGGACCTTTTTCTCGACAAGAATCACACTCAGGATTTTTGCAAATGGCACTCCTGTTGGCCATACAGAATGAGTGCGAATGTTTTTTGAGAAAATCAGCGAAATCATGCAGGATAGATGGTATAGGTAATATCACGGAGACTACTTTAACACAGGAATTGAATACTTCATCTCAAAGAGAGACGACTAAACTCATCACAAGATTTTTTGATCCAGCGATAAGCGATCTTCATGCTCGCTGCTGCGAGAGATTTGGTATTGTGGTTGAGTCAGAAAACTGTTACGGTGCATATACACCAAGTGGAGAGCATGATTTGCTTGTTGCATACCTCCCACATTCTCCTTGGACCCTACTGCGTAATTTATTTATTGCAAACATAAAAACATTTAACGACCTTGCGAATGATAAACAAGAGGGTTTTCTACAACGTACCTTGGTGATTGGAAATGATCTCCGTGAGAAATTGACTCGTTCTGACAACTTCATGGAGTTACTAATTAAAGTCTTGAATTTTCACGCTCTTCAACCTCAGGATAGCGGCAAAAGTGTTTTAGAGGCGGAAAATTTAGAGACTCATTCACATAGCGTTCCGAAAGGTATGAGTCGATACGACGTTTTGCGTGCGTTCTCTGACACAGCTGTTATGCAATTTGAAGATAAATGGGAAAAGGAGCTTACAGAGACACTGCAGCAGATACGTCTTCCACCTATTGTACGTGGAGGACTTGATCTTGCTTAACGAACTTGTAAATATATATATGTGTGTGTGTGTGTGTTTTTTTACCACCTGGTGAATGAATGAATAATGATTTTATACCTGTTGGGTAAAGTTTATTCGTTTTTCTTTTTGTGTTAGATTTCTTTTTTTTTTTCTTCTTCTTCTTCTTCTTCTTTGTTCTTCGTTTCTTATAGTTTTGCAGTCTTGGTTATATTTTTTCTTAGATTCTTGGGACTTGTCAGGAGGCTTGTATATTTCTATACATATTTTTATTTTTTCCAGATAGCAGTAAAAGCGGCTGTATCACATTTCAAAAACTCTTTCTTATTCACATATACATAGAAAGATAACAAGAGGATAAAAAGGAAAAGTCTGCATGTCGGTTACCCCAGACTATTTTCACTGCCTCACGGATACGCGTTTCCGCAGTTGTGTATATGAGCCGGAGGCCGATACATTTCTGCTGTTGGAGGCCCTTGACAAAGATGCGGTGTTGCTGCGCCGGATGAGCCCACGCCGCTGTGTGGAAGTTGGATGTGGTTCAGGGACTGTTATTTCGCATTTAATGCTCGTCCTCTCTGGGATTGCGGGATGTGCGGAGAAGCTGCCGGAGGAGGAGAAAGTTGCTGGCGTGAAGTATCATGGAGTGGATGTTAATCCCGTGGCGCTTGAGGCGACGGAGATGACATGGAGTAAAACAATAAACCAACACTTCAAAGGGGATGAAATGCCGCATCTGCAACTTCATCAGGGTGACTTGTTTACTCCATTTGAAGAAGAAAGTTGTAGTGGTGAAGAGGGGAGTAATGCTACCTTTGATGTTATTCTCTTTAATCCACCTTATGTTCCAACAAGTATGGAAGAGTTCTTGGGCGCAGGGACCCAAGGTGATTTTATCACCGCCGCGTGGTGTGGAGGTCCTCGTGGGCGTATAGTGGTAGACCGCTTTATCTCATCTTTACCAAAGTTTCTTTCGTCAAATGGTGTCTGTTATATTATAGCCATAAAAGAGAATGATGTACCTGATATGATGAAAGCGATTTGCTCTGCTTTTGAGAATAATACACAGTATAATGATGCCATTTCTGTTGATGTGGTTGCTGAACGCTACACTGGGGAGTACTTAAAAGTGCTTCGGGTAATACGACGGAGGCAGTACCAGGTAGCTCACATTGGATGATCTGAGGAAATAACAGAATATATATATATATATACTCTGACAGTTTAAATTTTTTTTTTCTTGAGTTACACACTGTGGTCCCTCATCCTTATCTCTTATTTAGGTAAAAACATCGTTTAATCAATATATGAATAAATGCAAAAAAAAAAAAGATAAAAATACGTCAAATTTTTTGAGTGCAACCTCAGTAAAAGTATCTCTTTTGGTGGTGTTTGAAGGACACCTATAATGGGTTTTTTATTTTAATTGTTTGTACTTTAAAATAATAATTACACGCGATTTCTCTTCTTTATTTTATTATTATTTTTTTTTTCTTCTTTTCTTTTTCTATTAGTAATGGAAGAGGTGGTTACCCCAGAACCACCCCCTCAGCTCGTGCGTGGTGTTGCAATTCGCATACAAAAGCCTAGTTGTAGTGCTGCCTTTCTTGGTATTGCTAACAAGCATTTTCCACTCTCATCACATACTTCTCATTTGAAGCGAATTCGAAAAACCCCAAATGAGGCGATATCACCGCTCTTGGATGATGCGGATACCAATAAAGAAAAGAAGAACGACACTTTGTGCAATAATGTGACTACTGAAACTGTAACTGATGTTTCTGTAGTCCCAGAGGAAGATCATTCACTGCAATTGTTGCTTGGGGTTGAATCTTCTATGGATACCAGTCTTCTTGAGAGGTTTAGGGAGGTATCTGGTTCTGCAGATCCCATTAGGATGGAAAGTGTTTGGGTGCCAGACAGAGCCCCTCGCAGGTGTCCAGAGGAGTGGCGAAAGTGGTCTGCGGTGTGGCCATTTGCCTCTCCAAAGCCACGACCGGCTTCTTCATTTCCACAAGAGGAAGTTGTTCACATTCGTCGCATCTTTAATGAAGTGGTGTTGCCATTGGCAGAACGTACACGCAGCGCAGAGGTACTTGGATTGGCAGCTGTGTTGGTGGATCCCTCACAGAATTGGCGTATACTTGTTTCTAGCGATGAGGCTCCTCCACTCTTGAGATCAAATGCAGTGGCTTGCTCTGGATACATTCCACAAATTAACTGTACTGGAGGTAGAGGACAAGATGGTATTGTTCTTGACCATCCAGTTACCTATGTGCTTAAGAAGCTTTCCTATCTCCAGTGTAGTGATGATTCTTCAAGTAATGAGGAGGTTCCTTATTTGGCGAATAATATAGATCTTTTCGTTAGTCATGAACCGTGTGTGATGTGTTCAATGGCGTTGGTACACAGTAGGGTAAGACGAGTTTTTTACTGTTTCCCTAATTCTACACATGGTGGATTGGGCTCCATCTTCACAATTCACGCTATTCCTTCACTTAATCATCACTTTCGTGTTTTTCGCTGTAGTCCAAGTTGGATCTGTGAAAAAGCCGATGAGGTGCATGGGGCTTGTGATGATACTCTCAACAAGTGGGAAACTCTGCGTTATCCATGATGACACTTGAATATCTGAACGCAAACAATATATACATCATCATTATCATTTATTTTGTGTATATTGTAGGGGTGTGTTGGAAATGATTCTTTTTGGGTTGTTTACACAATCACCCCATAACTATGGAGATATCTGATGTGTAACAAATAACATATACTCATTTTCCCTTTTATTAATATCTCTCCCTTTGCTTTTTTTTTTTTTTCGTTTTGTGTTCCATTTTTTTTTTTTTTTTGTTTTATCTTTTTCGTTTTTATTATTTATCTACATTTTTTTTTTTACTCATACCTTCTCTATTAGTGGGACACATAAATAAACCATAAAAGCAACAAACCGAATAAAAACCCATTAGTTTAGTACTCTAAACCCATATGAAGGCATTGAGACTTCGCACAGTAACTGGACTAGAGAGCAATAGAAAGGCATTACTGACTTACCTGAACTCCCTATGCACAGCGGGCCCAGTTGGAGAACCCAGTGATCCTCTTTACATACATCTGCAGATAGATGACGGTAGACGTGATACACTTCTACAACATGTGAAGATATTATACGATGCCGCATTACAACACCATCCAGAAACATTTGTAAGTGTCGTCCCACTCACACCACCAACATCAACACTAACAACAAGTGAAGTGACAGAGAAACAGAAAGACACATCCAATTCTAGTACGGCATCATTGCCATTGTTTACATCTGCCTTCATGACAGCCAATCGTGGATTTGAGCCGATGTATGCACATGTGGCTCTTGGTGGGACGTTTGACCGTCTCCACGCCGGACACAAACTGCTACTCACCACCGCATTATTTTATACCAATAAAACTTTACGTGTTGGGGTTACTTTGGAAGAAATGTTATCGAAAAAATCTCATGCCTCCTATATTGAACCCTTTGAAACCCGTCGTGCTGCTGTTTCTAATTTTTTGCGTAATCTTCGTCATGATATCGAGTTGGATGTTGTTGGGATCACAGAGGCGAGTGGTGGTACCGATCGCGATCCATCTGTAGAAGCGTTGGTGGTCTCTCCAGAAACCGCCGGTGCACTTGTGCCGATAAACACCGCCCGGGCCTCTCGTGGATTACCGCCGCTGAAGTGCATTGAGATTCCATACGTGGCCGTTGGCGGTGATGATAATCGTATCAGCTCCACAGAACTGCGGAGGCGGATTGAGGAACGAAAGCGGAATGAGAAGTGAATAGTCTAGTCTTTGTGTACATGGTGATGCTTTTTTTTTTTTTTGCATATATATATATATATATATATATATATATATATTATCTAGTGATGTGAACTTTTCCTATTTGTTTGTTTCTTTCTTTCTTTGGAGAAGAAAAAGTAAACTGGATGTGTATCATGTGGTTTCTTTTTTGTTTAAAATTCAAAAAAGCAAAATGTGTAACAAAAAGAGAAAAAAGAAGGGAACTGTTGGAGTCTGTGAGTGACCATTATTATTATTGTTTTTTTTTTTTCTGTGTATGTATGTGCCTCTTTTTCTCTCTTGATAATCCATTCTCTGTTCTTTTCTTTCTTTGGTGTTTGCTCTTGAAATAAGAAAAATAAAAACAAAAACAACAACAAAGAGGAATCATACATGATTTCACGTGATGTATTCTTCTTTGCTGTGCAGTTCTGGCGGCCGCATGTGAGCATCATGTTACTATCGGCTTTATTGATGCTCTTCTCAACGAGTTTGAGTCTCGCCATTACTCAAATAGCCAGAGAAGTCGCCACCTTTAACAACACGGCGGAAGATATCATTATAAACGACAATGATCATACAATAATATTTATCGCCACTCCCTCTGCCTTTACACAACGATGTATCTTTCTTGCTGTGGTGATATTATTATATCATTTTTTCTCTTTCCTAGCCCATAAGACGGCTTATCAAGCAGGACAAAAGATTCACAACACAATTTTAGAGACTGTTCTTATGGCTGTATTGCGAACACCACATGTAGATCGTATTTCAGCTATTAGTCCTGTTGTGTTATCACAAATTATTTATTCCAGCGCCAAAACATCAGCTGACGTTGCAGGGGCTTTATTAACAGATGTACTTTCATCTATATATGGTGCTATTGCTATTTTTTGTGTACTTCTTCATATGTCTATTACACTCACTCTCACCATAAGTGCGGTACTTGTGGGTTCACAACTTATTTTACGCATCATGCGTCAACAACAGAATAAACGTAGTAAAGAATTGGCATTGGCAGAATCGAATGTTCAAGCCTTTACAACAAATGCACTTCATCGTAATGTAACCATTCGTGTATTTCATGCGGAACCACTTATTTTAAATGGAATTCGAGAGCGTCTTTATAATTTATCCATGATTAACTCAAATGTAGTAACTTCCATTCATGGACAAGCTGGGTTTTCATCCGCAGTGACAGGACTTGTTTTTGTATTAGTCCTTGGAATGACAAATTCTTACCATCAACAGGGGGTATTAGATATTATAGATATTGGCATGTATTATTTATTACTTTATCAATTTATTAATAGACTTCAGCAATTACAACATGACATTCAACGAACTCTTTCCCTTCTTGAGGGTCTTTATACATTAGAACAGTTAATATCATGGTATGAGGTAGGTCACCTGGTGAGTCAACAACTTACACATGTGAAATCTCATTCAATAATAAAAACAGACAAACCACTGATAACAAGTGAAAACTCATTAAAGGAAAGTCCTGCTGATAAACAGAAGGGTGTTGTCATCTGCGCTTGTGAGAGTTCGGCCCCTATTCTTTTGCAGAATGTCACTTACATATATCCAGAGATTCCATCATTTTTCCCTGATATGGTAAAAAGTGGAAATCAACTTTCTTCACCATCTGGAAGTAGACAAACAGCGGAGACGGCAGATATGAACTTTCATTATGAGAGAATTAATGGGATTCAAGATATTTCTTTTACCATAGAAACTGGAAAAATAAATATTCTTTACGGACCAAGTGGATCTGGAAAGAGCACCTGTCTGAGACTTCTCGCCGGTTTACTGCAGCCACATCAAGGGACCATCTACACACATGAAAAGATAGCTCTATTAGAACAACATCATGCGATCCTCTTGGGAACAGTGGCGGATAATATTCTAATGACAGATATAAGAACATTATCAGAAGACGCGGTAACTCTTGCCCGTCGTGATGTGAATACAGCCATGCAACACAGTAGATGTCATTCCTTTTTACATGATCCATTTGATGTGTATATTCATAGTCCTGAGAAGACACAATTTAGTGGAGGTCAACTTCAAAGAATTTGCATGGCTAGATTATTTGCCAAGCGAGACTCTACATTGTTTCTGCTGGATGAACCTACCACAGGTCTGGATAAGGAGAGTGTGGAACATCTTTTACATACACTTAAAGATCTTCACAGTACATATCATAAAACAATTGTGGTCGCCACACACGATACACGAATGACCTCCATTGCACATAATATTATAAGATTCGACGGTAAAAAAGAAAACTGTAAGAATGATTAATCCTTAAGCTCAAAAGGCTGAGCAAAGAAAAAAAATAAAAAAGTATTATATATATTAAAAAAAAAAAAAGTTAGCTATCGGATAATCACATAAAAGTAAAAAAAAAAAAAAAGATCAGAAACACTCAAAAAACGAATAGAGAGGGAAAAAGAAAATAATATGATCGTACTAATTCTTTTGGAATGCTTTGTGGTTCTTTTTTTTTTTTTTTTTTCTCTTTGCTTTTTTTTTCTCTATTCCCTTCTTTTTTTCTTTTTTTTTTTCTTTTAGGCTTATTTTTATTTCTGTACGATGTTTTCTTCGAGTCCATGGTTAACCTCTTTCTTGAAGGTATGGATAGATTCTTTTTCTTATTATTTTACTGAAATGACTTGTGCAGATAAGATGGACGAAGTTTATGCATTGTTGGAACAACTGCGTGTTAGTGAAATTGGTGGTGTGAGTGTAGAAGAAGGATGTGTACTCTGGGATAGATTTGTGTTTTTAATTTATCGTATTTTTTTGGAGTCATCATCTTTTGCGGCTGTTGGTTATAACGCTTTTCCGAATGTTCCCACCATTGTGGATCATGAATCTAAAAAGGATTTCTTAACCTATATGAATGCATTAGTTGCCGATATGAATACGGTCTCGTCTCAGTTACGTGATTTGGAAAGTGCGATGTGTGCTGTGAAATCTTATTTATCAAATGATGAACTTCTCCAATGTGAGGCAGAGTTCAAAAAGGAGCAATCCACTCTCTCGGATGCCTTGCTGCGTATTTCCAGTATGCGTACTCGACTGATGGACCTGCAGTGTATAGATAGACACCATTCCTCTCATTCCGCTGGTGTTGTTGTTCCTTCTTCTTCTTCTTCTTCTTCTTTACAAAGGCGACGAGAGGAGACAACACGTGTCTTTCTGGACACCATGCGGTTTTGTGATGCGGCGCGGGAGGCACTGCGAGAGTCTTCACGCACATCTCCTCTCACTGTTGAGATGTCAACATCAACATTATCATCTCCACAACTCATACGACTGACGCGGGAAGTGGCGGAGCTGCGGGCCATGCGGGCAAAAACCCTCGCGGAGCTTCACCACTGGCAGACCCCCGCAGCCACATCCCACAAGGAACAATGGAAAGAAAAAGAAGAAAAAGATGAAAAAGAAGAAAAAGAAGAAAAGGAAGAGTTGGAGGAATTGCGGCGGGCGAATGCGTCGCTGCGGGCGGAGTTTCACGCCGGTTGTGCGGCACTGCGGGAACAGCGGGGGGATGTGAAGATCCAACACTCTCTCTTGCAGTCCATACAATCACCATCACTGCAATCCTCATCATCCTCATCACTGCAATCATTGCAATCGCGATGGGCATTCGCCACCGCCCGACGTGATCGACTGCGGCGAGAAGTGGCGCAACTCACAAGGGCATGTGAAGTGGAGCGAGCAGAACACCAAACACTCATTCACTCCTCCTCTAATTCTAATTCTAATTCTTATTCTAGTTCCCCTACACACGCCCATTCCTTTACAAGAGATAGTTCTCATGGAAGGGAATGGGTGGAGCAGATTGCTGTTGAGGATCTCGCGTGGGAGGCACGGGCACAGGCGAGTATTGCCAACACCCTGCGAGCACAGCTCCACACTCACACCGCATCCACCGGCAGTATGTAGGAAGTGAAAGATGAAAAGCGGTGGGGATTGTATTAGCTGTTGTGATTTGATGTCTCTTTAAATAATGTGAGGTTTTTTTTTTTTATTAGTTTTTATTTTTTATTTCCTCTCTATTTTCTTTTTACTGTATCATCTGGTCTCCTATATATATATATATATATATATATATAAATGCAGCACTTTCTGCGATATTAATGACGTCTGTGTGTCTGTCTGTCTATGTTTGTTTGTTTGTTTGTTTGTTTGCCGTCTTTTTAATTTTTTTCCCTTGTTTATACCGTATCTTTGAGTCACCTTTACGCATATACTGACCGAACAGTATGGGAAGGTTAACACAAAGAAAACATTTTATCGTACTATCATTATCATGCAAATGGCATATCAAACTTCCGCTAAAAAAACTAGATATGACCCTTAAAAGAAATGAGTTTATTATTATTATTATTATTATTATTATTATTATTATTATTATTTTTTTTTAAATTTGTCTAATCATGGATGGAGACTTCTCTGTTTTCACTCTGTTTGCTCTCTATATAATTTTTCTTTGTTTTCTTATATGTGGTTATTTGCTTGTTTTTATTTGTTGAATTTTTGAAGAAAGTACAATAACGATAAGGACAACAAGGAAAAGGAGAGCAAGTGCGGCGATAGTTCCCTTAAGTGGAAAACATATATAACGAACACCGGGTGAAATACAATAAGAAACAAAGACATTTATTTACATTTATTTTTGTAAACTTACGCGCATAAAAAAAAAAAAATAAATTGACGTGACAATGAGCATGCGTATGTCCCCTGGGAAGATATACGCCGGTGGTGCATTCATTATTTTGTTCTTGACGGCATGGAACCGCCGTTCCACGCAGCACCTTCGCACAATTGTTGAGAATGTTAAAGAAGCGAAGATGCAAGAGGCGGCATATCTTCGCGAGACGAAACGCGACTAGCACAGAGTTGTATATATGTGTTTTTATTTGTAGTTATCTTTTTTTTTTTGTTTCTTGAGTGTGTGTGTGTTTGCATATACATGTGTGTCTCCTGGTTTATATATATATATATATATGTGTCTGTGTATATTCAAATGAATGGTGTGTTTTTCTGCTTCTTATTTACTGCCTTATGGGAACGGGGAAAAAAAGGGGGGAAAAAAGAAAACCAACACAAGAAAACATAGTGTGCCCCAAGAAAAGAAGGAAAACAACAACAACAACAGCAAACAAAGAAATCCACAAGAAAGGGAGTTTTGGTGGTGTAACACAACAGTATCATTAGTAGTCATATCGAGAAGAAAGAAAGAAAGATGGAAACAAACAAGATGCAGCTACCCTCATCTCAACGGCAAAGTACCTCAAAGACCAGCTCCACGCGGGATAGTGACAATCAAACGGTGATGGACGAACATGGATTATTACAATCATTTGTGCATAGACGGCGGCGTATGGAGGCGGCAGTGCGTCTGGCTCGTAATATGTTGGGAGAAGTAACATCCATCACCGAGACGGATGAGAGCGCGCCGTACATTCTCTTAGTGGAGGATGTCGCCGGCCCGGATGGGATGCCGCAGAATACAGCGAATGTAAATGATACGTCGCTTTTAAGTGCCACCCGACATGGAATAAACGGAACGGGGAAGTCCTCCAATCCACCGGAGGCCATGTTGGATCAGGAGATAAATGATAAACTCAAGCGATTACGTGAGATGCGGGCTGAACAGCGAACAGCAGCAGAGATGCAGGTAAAACCGGCATTTGAGTTGGCAGAGCGTGTGTCAGATGTACCTGCCCCGCCTACACTGTTTACATCCACCTCACTTGCCTTTTCGTTGGAGACTCTTGGTAAAAGTGTGGCTAAAATAATATCGGCAACCGATGGCATTTTGGTTCAGTTGTCCATATTAGATAAAACAAAGAGTCCTTCTATATTTAATGAGATGCATACCCTTTCTTTGCATTCACAACATGCATTTAAATGTTATTCTGCAGCATTGCAGCATTTAAAGCAGTATGAAGTTTGTCAAAAGGCACTACAAGATGGTACTGCAGAGGAATTAAGCACCATGCGTGAACAATTTCTTATGCGAAAAGAGATGCTCACAGCACAGGAACAAAAACAAAAAGTTGTTGATGAACATTTGCAAGCGATGAAACTACGTTTGAATGCCATTGATGCGAGATGTCGAATGTGGTCCTCTGTACTTCTTGACATTGCACCACCTACTTCAGCTTATTTACCAGGAATGTCTATTTGCAGAATGTCCGTTACACATGAGCGTGATCTTTTCCTACCACGCAGTCCCACACTCTCACGCCCTGTGAGTAACGCCCAACGATATAGTGTTGCTGGTAGTTTATCGCAGGCATGCTCCAACACACGTATGCACACGCCTGTATCCACGCAGAGTATTGACAGCCGCGCCTCCTCCATTGGCACCTCCGATGAGTTCGAAACCCGCGTGGATGCGATGGAGGTGAAGGTGGCGCAGTCCTGGACAAACCCGTATGTTGTGAAGGCCCAACGCTGCACAGAGCGACGGCGATGCATGCGGCGATTCATTGGAAGTAAAACACCGCCGCTTGTCGATGTCGCCGCGGCCTCTATTGCCGGTGGCATCGTCACAAGCGGCATGGCGATTGGACACTCGCCGGTCTCATCACGGCGGGAATCCACGCGGTTCATGCGCATGGAAACACCGCGGCCAGTCAACACACACGATGGCGCCGGCCGCGCAGTGGCAGAGACACGCCTGTCCGCACTTCTGCGCACACTTCTCACCGCCGCCCCCCGCATGGCCGCAGGGACGACAGACACGCACAATCCCAGTCATCGCAGCAGCGAGACACAAGGGAAAAGTGGAAGTGTGGAAAGTGCAAAGACGCCCGGTTCTCTCACAATGTCGGCAGAGGAGCAGGTCTTATCACAGGTTGGTAGTGATATGGTGGCGGAGGTTTCTTTTATGGACGAAGTTCTTGAGGCGCCCACGACGGAGGAGCAGCAGGAGTTGAATGCCGTCATGGAGAGCAGCAGGAACCTCCTCAGGTTTCTCGATTCAGGAGGTTTGACGTTGTCGTGAGGAACACTGCTTATGTAAAAGAGAAAAAAAAGAAAAAAAAAAGAGACGAGAGCGAAATTTCGCATCGTACTTATGTGATATGGGGAGCTTTTAGAGCTCTGACAAGTCATGATGGAACAAGTGAAAAATGGAAAATGAGTCATTTAACAAAGAATAGTGGAAAATATAGTTTTTGGGTATGTATATATTGGTGAATTTTGTTATTGTTTTGTCGTTTCTTGACAGTATTCTTTTCTTCTTTTCTTTTTTTCATTTAGTTTTTGTTATTGTTACCATAAAACGATATATCAACTTATTACAAGAGGAATAAAAAAAGAATTGTAAAAAAAAAAAAAAAAAACAGAAGAAAAAAAAAAA